GGGGTGGCGCTGGGCAGAGGCCGTCAGTCATTGCCAGTCGGGGGTGGCGCTGGGCAGAGGCCGTCAGTCATTGCCAGTCGGGGGTGACGCTGGGCAGAGGCCGTCAGTTATCCAGTCAGGGATGGTGCTGGGCAGAGTGGGTAAGGAGGAAGGTGCCAGTGTGTTTGTGCCGGACAGCCTATCGAAGCCTGGCCATGCATGATAGCATTTTCTTTGCTTCTGAGCACTCAGCCTGTGTTGTTGTTTAATCCTCCAGCAAACACACGCTGTCCAGGTCACAGGCGCTGCCTGCATAGGCCATCTCCAGACGATGGAAACACAGCAGCCTTGGTAGCTGTTCTCCTTTAGCTGTGGGGCCCTGGACAATTTCTTACCTCTCTGAGCTTCATCTTCTTTTTTTTTGTCGTTGAGATGGAATTTCGCTCATGTTGCCCAGGCTGGAGTGCAATGATGCGATCTCGGCTCACTGCAACCTCTGCCTCCTGAGTTCAAGCATTCTCCTGCCTCAGCCTCCAGAGTAACTGGGATTATAGGTGCCCGCCACCACATCTGACTAATTTTTTAAAATTTTAGTAGAGACGGGGTTTCTCCATGTTGACCAGGCTGGTCTCAAACTCCTGACCTCAGGTGATCCACCCACCTTGGCCTCCCAAAGTTCTGGGATTATAGGCATGAACCTCATCTTTATAAAATGGGGTAGTGCCACCTACTCAATAACCTTATGGAAAAATTAAAGAAGAAGAAATGGCATAGAACCCCAAGGCAGTGTATGAAGGGAGGTTCTGTCCTGGAGGCTGCTGGGCCAGTCTCCTTACCAACCTTTTCTAGGTGTGTAGGGAGCTCTATGCAGCCTCATTTGGTTTCTTTCTCCTGCCACTGCTCCCACCTCTGTGGCAGTAGGTGGACTGCCTGGCTGGGATGATGGACAAGAATTGTGTCAGTCATCATGCTTCGAGGGCTTAGTAGAGAAGCAGTGAAAAGAATTTCAAGTTATTAGTTTGTGTTTTCCCCGAGAAGTATACCCAGATGTGAGGGCTCATCCATAGCTAGAATGCAGGCCGTGTTTGCTGCAGGGTCCTCTGGTCTCTTACCCATCTTACCCAGCAGTACCAAGCACTGCTCTTGTGAGAACGTGTCGGAGTCTCACATCTGAAAGAAGGTACCTGCCACCCACCCCTCGTCACAGGAGAAATGGGCAGGGAAGCTCTGCTCATGAGGGGATCCAGGTCCTTGTCACGGGGTGGTTGGCCTGGGCTGGGCCTGGCCTCTGTCTCCTGGTTGGTGGATGGCCCAGCAGTCCATCTTGGGCCCTCAGTCTGCAGTTGGTAGACAGGGTGGGTATGTGGATGGGGGCCTCTTGCCAGGGCAGTGGGTTTCTCCACAGAGCACGGGGCTTGGAGGCTGCTCTTCACTGTTAAGGTTTCCTGCCTTATAAAAACACGTTCTTTCCTGGGCCCAGGCTGACATGTTGGATCAGGAAGCAGCCTTCATGCAGATTCAGGAGGCAAAGGCAATGGTGGAGGAGGACCTCCAGAGGCGGCTGGAAGAGTTTGAAGGCGAGAGGGAGCGGCTGCAGAGGATGGCGGACTCAGCGGCATCCCTAGAGCAGCAGCTGGAGCAGGCAAGTCCCTGTGGCCCTTCAGGCTGGACCCAGGGCCCAGGCTCTCCCGAGCATCCAGGTCCATACACAGGGAGCCCCGGCGGTCCTCTGCTGTGGGGCCGCGTCAGCGCAGGAGGGAGTTGGGCTGTTGGTCAGATGCTGCTGCTGCGGACCTGACCATGTGTTTGCCCTGCTGGTTCTTCTTCACCAGGATTTTGCATTAAAAAAAGACCTCCATAGTGTCCATAAAAATTATTTGAAACCTCAACAGGAAAAGGGCACACATTCTTGGAGAAGGGCATACGTTCTCGGATAGGGAGATCTGAACAGGAGAAGGGCACACATTCTCGGAGTGGGGCATACGTTTTCCGATAGGGAAATTGAACAGGAGGAGGGCACACATTCTCAGAGGTTAGGGAAATTGAGCAGGAGAAGGGCACACATTTTCGGATAGGGAGATCTGAACAAGAGGAGGGCACACATTCTCAGATAGGGAAATTGAGCAGGAGGAGGGCACACATTCTCAGAGTGGGGCACACGTTCTCCGTTAGGGAAATTGAGCAGGAGGAGGGCACAGATTCTCGGAGTGGGGCACAC